AAAATTAAAACTACACCATTTCTTACCTATCAGATTAACAAAAATCCAAAAGTTTGGTAACAACAGCAACAGAAGTTTAGCAACATAATTTCTTGGTAATGTTGTGGAGGAACAGGTACTCTACTACATTGCATTGGTGGGAATCCAAATGATACAATCCTTTTGAATGAGAATTTGACAACATCTAGCAATTACATAGAATTGACTGTCTACACAAGGTTATTCATTATAGTGTTATTTGCAACAGTAAAAGATTGGAAATAACCGAAATGTCCATCTATGGACGAACAAGTACATCAAGTGTTGCAGCCAACAACAGGGTTCTATGTAGTTACCAAAAAATATATATATTAATATGGAAGAAGTTCTAGGACATTCAATTAAGTAAAAAAAAAAAGAAAGAAAGAAAAAGTGAGAGGCATAATATTTTATGTAACAGATGAAAATTTTGTATAACAGATATAAAATGCTTATTAAAGCTTTTAAAAATGGCTATAGGTAGAAGGAAACCATTTGTTCCAGTTTCCTTGAGCCAGTTCAGCTCAGTTCAGGTTCAGGTTTATCCTACTGTCCTAGCCTAAAAAGTGTCCTAGTGTGGACAATAATTTATGTGGTCACCTTATCTAGAATTGAGGCAGGGAACAGAATGGAGGTGACAGAGATGGAAATGAACCATTTGTTTTATCATTATTATAAACATTTGTCTTTCTAATTACGTAAATATTTTACATAATAAAAACACAAAAATAAATCAAAAAGGAAATAACCCCTAAAAAATGAAAACAAACAAACACATGTGAACCTAACTTTATATCAAGTTGACCACATAACCACTCACAGAAAATTACTCCAACTGACCTTGGAAGACAGTACTTGGGCTGACGTGTTCAGTATATATTCGAGAACAAAGCAATCTTAACTGTCATTTAACAGTCTTATTGATGTATCATCAATAAAGCATGTAAGTAATTATATTAATGTTATCAGAAATCAAAAATTGCAGCATAAAAGAGTTACAGATATAAAATAAAAAGGAGTAAAGACCCTGTAGTCTTAAATTTGAATTGGCAATATTAGTACAAACTCAAAGTTCTTCCTCTGTATTCCACCTCCTCACAACTGAACTTGAATCTAATCAGTCTTTAGATCTAACTTCCAGTCCATAGAAAATACAGAGGACAGAGTAACAAGTTAAATAACCACAGGAAGCAATCAGCCAAATCCAGAATGTGGTATACTTTTCACCATAACTCACCAACAAATCAATGGAACTTTAAAAAGTCTTGAAGGGAGGAGGAATTGTTTTAGAACAAAAGAAACTGAAGAAACCTAACAACCAAATGCAGTTAAGTGGACTTTGTGGGATCCTGATTTGACTAAAACAACTTTAAACATTTAGTCAGTTAGGGCAATCTGAATATGGACTGAATATTAGATGTTAAGGAAGTATTGTTAATTATTTTAGGAGTGGTAATGATATTGTATTACATAAGATAATTTACTCTTTTATTGAGATGCATAACTGAGGTACTTTGGAGATGTAGTGAAATTATTTTATAATACTCCAACCAAAAAAGTGGGGAGGATAGACAGACAGACAGATGAATGGATGAAATAAGTATAGCTGTTGAATCGGGGAGTAGGTACACAGCAGTTCATTAAGTAAAAACAAAACAAACACCAAAAAACAAAACTAAACTAAAACCTGTGGGGGCTAGGATCAAAAACCACAGGATGTGAGGAATAGTTGGACAGCAAGGATGAAAATGAGCTATGGTGGTTACTCGCAAGAGAAAATCAGGAAAGAGAAACTAAGAGAAGGCTGTACTCTAATCTGGGTCCTCTCAGAGGTCTGGCCACACCCATGAGAAGTATGGGGAGTGTTTCCACTTAGAAGGGAAGAGCAGCCACAGGTCTGCAAAGGACATCAAGAAAGCCTAATGCAGCAGAGAACCGCCTACAAGAAAGAGAGTATTGCTGTATAAAAAGAACTGGAATATCTAAATTTTATCCTAGAAAGTAGAAAGATTAACTGAATTTAAAATGAAAGATGAAGATACATTATGAACTCACTCAAAGTTTAAAACTGGTCATTTAATCCCTAAAGGTAAATGACACATTTTTGTGTGTGTGTGTGTGTGTATGTGTGTGAGGAAGATCAGCCCTGTGCTAACATCTGCCAATCCTCCTCTTTTTTTGCTGAGGAAGACTGGCCCTGGGCTAACATCCATGCCCAACTTCCTCCACTATTATATGGGATGCCGACACAGCATGGCTTGCCAAGCAATGCATCGGTGCGCGCCCGGGATCCGAACCAGCAAACCCCGGGCCGCCGCAGTGGAGCGCACGCACTTAACTGCTTGCGCCACCCAGGCCAGCTCCGACACATTTTTTTAAAATGGTAACTAGCCCAGAAGCACACCAGTTGCTTCCAAAGTGGTAGGGATATGAACGTGTATAATCAATCATTCTTTCTCAGTAGAAGAACTGCAGAACTCGTCTAGAAGGAGAAGCTGAATGGCACTATTACCATTGCGTGATGGTAAAAACACACACACACACAACACATTATTTTAGGTAATGCTAGAAGTGCATTTGTGTATTTGGCATCCATGTTTAAATTAAATGTTTGTATATGTATATTAAGAGTTAATATGCTTATTTTCTCTTTTTTACTTACTTTCAGTGTGTATATTAACTTACATTTAATGCTCTAAAATAATTCAAAGCTTCTTTTATTTCAGCTGACATAATAAAAAAATTATAGCCATCAAGGACATTGAATAAACTGTCCATCTTGAGAGAATAATGCAATAAGAACTCATTTACTTGACAGTCATAACACACTGGAGTATCTTCTATGTGCCAAACACTATACTAGCTGTTAGAGATACTAAGATGAGTATAAGATGACAGAGGAAAAGACAATTCTGTCCCCATTCTCTCAGAACTCACTACAAAACAATAAGGAAAAACAAGAAACTGCAACACTAACTCCACTGTGGAAGAACCTAAGAGCTAAATGTGACCGACTCAGCAGTCTCCTTTACAGGCAGATTACACCACAGAACTCGGGCAAGACGCAGGAGTTGGGAGACACCAGGTACTGCAGAGGGAAGCTTATTTTGAAGATAGTTATGCCTCCAGGCCCCTGTCTCTCTTCTTCCACAACTGTAGGAGACGGGAGGGTTATTCTCTAGAGAAATTAAACCAAAGAGGCCCTACACTGGGAACACCAAAATCGTACAGGGTGAAGATGAGGATGGAGAGAAAAAAAGGAAAGCAAATGACAGTATGCTTGCTCAATAGTGACTCTGCCCCTCAGGATCCCAGAACTGCAGCCAGCCATATTACCCCCACCCTCAACCCAGGCAAGAAACCTGAAGATCCTTCTCTGAAAAAGCTGTACAACCCCAAAGGAAAAGATCTATAGATACCGAGATAGATGGCTCCTCAATGAAAAAGCCAGCTCATCCTCCAATCAGGCAACAAACTAGATTCCATGCCCTGTCTACAAGCACAGGGCTCCCAATCCGCTTTAGACTGCCTAACTTCTACAGATGAACAGATGGCCAAGGAGCCAGTTCAAGGAAATGGAGCCAGTGCAAGGAGTAGAAGGAAAAACTTCAACCACCACCATACTTTATAACTAACAGTCCCAGAAAGATAAGAAAAACATCTCATCTATAAAACAAGAACAGTATGTTCCCCAAAAAGGACAATCAGAGAAGGGCTCTTGGAAATTAAAAATGAAAGCCAAAATTTTAAACACTAACACAAAGGCAATAAGATAAGGAAACCTCTCAGGAAGTATACTCCAATACAAAAAGACAGATAACACGATTAGTCATTTAATAAATTAGTGTTTACACTATTATACATCAAACTGGTAGGAACATTAATTTATTTGATATATTATTCAAGTAAGTACTGATTTAACCAGAAATGGTGATAAAACCATACTGGGAAGATAAGAGAGCTAAATCCTCATATACCATAAGAAGAAGTCAACAGATAAGTTCCTAAAATCAAAGAATCAGAGAATAGTATAAGGATATTATTTAGAATTACGGAAGTAATACAATACTGAAGTTGAAAGTGGTTGTCTCTGCATTGGGATCAAAGCATTAGGAAGAAATGAGACAGGGCATTGTATTAACCCTACGTGCATATATCTAAAGCACGTGCATAAATCCCACTTTGACAAAAATAGAGATTAATTTAAAAACATCAAGATGACACCATCCTTGTTCTTAAGGAGCTCGCATTCTATCGGAAGAGACAAACAAAACAACAATTATAGTAGCATGCAATAAATGATACAATAGAAGCAGACAATCTGAACAGCATAGAGGATCCCATCTCAGTCAAATGAGGAAGGTTTCTGAGAACAGGGAACACTTGAACTGCGGTTTTAAAGGATGAAAAGGAGTTAACTGGTCAGAGAGGGGATGATGAGTGTTTCTCTCAGCAATTGTCTATGCATGTAAGTTTTCTTTCTAAAACACAAATGTAATAGCATTCTATAAATACACTTTTGCACCTTGCTTTTTCTACTTAATCCATCTTAAAGATTGTTCCTCAGAAAGTCCTTAAAAACAGCTATTAGTTTCTCAAGGATCTTTAGTGAAGTCATATAAAAGAAGACAATTTATTTTTTAATATGTTAAGTACCTAGTTTCTATTTGCAACCATAATACACGTGTCTTATAAAAAATTCAATGGTATAAAAAATTAAAAAGTAAAAAAATCCTCACTTGTTCCTCCATTCCTACCTCCCAAGAATAAGCACTTTTAATTTCCTCCCACATCTTTTTCTATAAAAGTTAAAAGACATACATAAGTAAATACTATTCAAGTGAATGCAATAATATAATGTTCTATTAACCTACTATATCTTATATACACACTAGTCTATACACATAAAATACATTTATATTCTTTAAAGTCAAGGATTCTGTGACAAGAATTATAAGAAATTTTACTGTATGTCAACTTACCAACACAATCACAGCACTCATCCCAAAGGGTTCCGAGACACAGCATACACTCCTTACAGCAGGAACAATTTCCTTCTCCAGGTCGGCACTGGCAGAGTTCCTAGAAATAAGACAGATGTTCAAACTCAAAATTCCAAATAACTGTATTTAAAATTAATTTTTTTGCAGCAAAAAAACCCGCACAATATTTGCATTTATAATAATTTACTCTTGACACAATTTTTTATTCAACATCATTAACTATTTGCAGGAACATAAATATCTATAATGTCAAGTAGATTTATATTTTCTTTTAGACACATTTAGTGAACACATTTTGGATCCTTTTATCTTATTTTGAAACAAAGAAAATACTTTACTTTATAACCCATAACTTTACCTCCCCACCAAGTCAACAAATAATTCAGCACAAGAACAAAAACTACTTTTCAGCTATTAGAGTCATTGTCCAAATTAATCTAAATGAATAGACTTGTAGTGGAAGCTATGGTTTCTCAATATGTAAAGTGTAAATAAAAGCATCTTTTAAAAACTGCTATTTTTATTGATCTACAACATATTAAAAGTGTGCTCTGTGCAGCAGACTGTTTACAAAGAAGGTAGCAATTATTGCTCTCCCTAAGTCCACCCTCTTTGCAATGCAACTTTGTATCTCTTCTGATAAGGGACAGAGTCTATTTCCAGACTCCTTAAACCTAGGTGTTCTTGAGACTTGCTGGGATCAACAGAACTTGGTGGAAGTGACCTCGCATCAGTTCTGAGTCTAGGCCTCAAGAAATCTAGAGTGCTTTCCACTCTTTCTCTAGGAACTTTGCCCAGCTGCCATGTGAAGCCTGGGAGAAGGCCACGTGGACAAGTCAGTCCACCTGAAGCCATCCTAGCTCAGCCAGCCTCCAACCAACCAGAAGCTGACAATAGAGACAGGAATGCAGAAACACACCCCAACTGATGTAGGCTCAAATTGCTAAGCCCCAGGAACAAGAGCTAAATAAATGGTTCTTGTTTTAAGCACTAAACTTTGGGGTGGTTTGTTACTCCACGAAATCTAATTAATACAGCTTGCTTTGTAATGAAGTTTCAAGGTAACTGCTTCAGCCCTTGCCACCAGACAGCCGCTCCTAAACAAACTCAACTTAAAGGGAAGTTCTATAGCCACCACTGCCTACTTGGCTTTCTCTGCTTTATGAGATACCACTTATGTTTTTAAAAACTTAAACATAGCACATAGCACTTATCTCTATTAAATTTATCTTATTACATTTCTGGACTATTGGAGTCAGTCCATCATTCTAATATGACGCGATTTTTTGCAACACTGGTATTTTTTTCCAGTTTTATTGAGAAATAATTGACATAGATCACTGTATAAGTGTAAGGTGAACAGCATGATAGTTTGATTCACATATATTGTGAAATGATTACCACAATAGGTTAACATCATGATCTCATATAGACACAATGAAAAGAAAAGAAAAAAAAATTTCTTTGTGATGAGAATTCTTAGGATCTACTCTCAACAACTTTCTTATATACTACACGCCAGTGTTAACTATAGTTATCATGTTGTACATTACATCCCTAGTACTTAGTTAACTTATAACTGGAAGTTTGTACCTTTTGACTCCCTTCCTCCAATTCCCCCTCCCCATATCCCCCACTTTGGTAAACACAAATCTGATCTCTTTTTTTATGAGTTTGGTGGTGGTTTTGTTGTTGTTCTTGCTGTTTTTAGATTCCACACTTAAGTGAGATCATACAGTGTCCTTCTCTGCCTGACTTATTTTACTTAGCATAACGCCTTCAAGGTCCATCCATTATGTCACAAATGGTAGGATTTCCTCCTCTTTTATGGCTGAAAAATATTCCATTGTATATATACACCACAACTTCTTTATCCATTCATCAACACTTAGGTTGTTTCCTGTCTTGGCTATTGTGAATAATGCTGCTATAAACATGGGGGGTGCAGATATCTTTTCAAGTTAGTGTTTTTCATTTCCTTTGGCTGTATTCCCAGAAGTAGAATTGCTGGATCATATGGTAGTCCTATTTTTAATGTTCTGAGGAACCTCCATACTGTTTTCCATAGTGGCTGCACCAATTTACATTCCCACCAACAGTGCACAAGGGTTCCCTTTTCTCCACATCCACACCAGCATTTGTTATCTCATCTTTTTTTCTCCCCAAAGTCCCAGTATATAGTTGTATATCCTAGTTCTACATCCTTCTAGTTCTTCTATGTGGGAGGCCGCCCCAGCATGGCTTGATGAGCGGTGCGTAGGTCTGCGCCCAGCATCCGAAGGGGTGAACCCCAGGCTGCTGAAGCACAGCGCACGAACTTAACCGCTACACCACCAGGCCAGCCCCATCTCTTGTCTTTTTGATGACAGCCATTCTAACAGGTGTGAGGTGACATCCCATTGTGGTTTTAATTTGCATTTCCCTAATGACTAGTGATATGGAGCATCTTTTCATGTACCTGTTGGCCATTCATATATCTTTTTTGGAAAAATGTCTATTCAGATCCTTTGTCCGTTTTTTATTTGGATTATTTGCTTTTTTGCTATTGAGTTGTATGAGTTCTTTATATATTTTGGATACTAACCCCTTATCAGATATAGCAACACTGATATTTAATTCCTTGTTTTCTTCTTCTCCAAAAGTCCCCTAGCTATTACACAGTGCTTTCAAGAATCAACACTTGTGCTATTTTCCAACTAATTCATTAGTTTGATGTCAGTGTATATCTGTGACCTAATATACGCAAATTACAATATTCTAGCAATGTGGAATTCTGTATATTCAGGCCGCATCCATTTTACGCAGACCTTAAGTCACTTTTCCAGGTCTGTTAGAAAGAGAGGGGCTAAAAGGGCAGGGACTTCTTGAGAAGAACAGATGCTTCATCATAAAATTGGTGATGCTTAATTCAGACAAGCTCAGACTTACTTGGAAATCTAGAAAAACAGAGTTGCCAAAGCTATACTTTGTAACTTGTTTCTCTATAAAAACCTGTCTGTCTTGTCTTTGGAGTGAGACATTATCTGAGTACACATTTTTTGAAAACAGCATCAGAATTAAGGATATTGACACTTTTTGGTTTTAGTTTTATAAAGGTTGCCACTTAATCACAAGAAATAAAGCTTTTTAAAAATTTTAATTTATATTATACATAGAAAATATCCCCTTACTGTTGTAGTTGCTTATATTTACATTATCTTTTTAGGTCAGGAGAAACAAATTAGAAAAGTAACAAATTTATTCAAAGAATATGTCTCTCCTTTTTCCTATCTATCATAGCTTCCAAATGGCAGCTTGGTAAATGAATTACTCTGTATTATGCTAAATAATTTTAAAATGAATGCCAATTTAATGGTTTCCATTAGAGAAATCTGAGTCTTTAAAGCATTCATTATGCCTCTTACTGTCAGCTATTTGTGAGGTGTTTTAAATTGGAATGAAAAGGTAGATGATAACGACAGATTACTGCTAAGTAATACAAGGTTAAAACTAAGACTATTTAAAAGTTCCTTGAACATGTCTGGATTATCTAGGCCTCAAGATTAAATGCATTTCACTCCCCTCTTAAGAGATGCTTGTGTTGTACTTTTACATGTCAGTGTGATAGAATAATGCACTGTAGTAATATGCTTAATGATTTATAATTTACTGATAGAATACAAAGTAAGAGGCTATAGAAACCCAAGACATGGGGAAAATGACTTAAAGATAGGCTTTATTACTATACTATTAAAAAGAAAAAAATCCAGGTTAAGACTTTATTGGTAAAAATTACTGCTAAAACTGGTTAATGCCAAGTAACAATATGCTAGCTAATATTTTTCTTTCTTTCCATCTTATTACAGAAAAGACTGAAAAACCTTTGTCTTAATAAAATAAATTTAATCACATAAATTACGAAATTTTTACAGAGTAAATAAGCCTCAAAATATATCAAATAATCTGTATGCTTCATAAGTCATGTCAGCTTTCTTTTCAGGAGCCTGGGAAACAAGAAGAATAAGATCCCCAAACCAACTTTTCAGCTAGCATTTGTGCCTTTTTAGTTTTCAAAAAACACTTAACTTCTCACTTTCCAGGAGAAAAATACTACACAGGCAAATTTAATAGATGGCATTTAGGATCTCAAAAACCTCACTGGAAATCTAGAGAGCAAAAATATACGGAAATTATTTGCTCTATGACTATTGTCATAGTCAAGAAGAAAATGGAAACAATGAATTTCCATGTGAAAATAATTATGAATAACAGCCATGTGCAGCTTTCATCAAGTAATTCACTCTTTTCTATTTACTTTACATGTCTTTCAAAATCACATTATTGAATAACGTTTTGTCATAAACATACTTGGAAATGTATACTTTAATTTTTTGACAGTAAGCAAACTGTGGTTAGAATGAATGTTTTTAAATATAAAAAACATTTCTAAAGTGCTTTGAAGTCAAGTATCGGAAATACAAAAGAAAAAAAAACAACTCAAAATGTAACTGTGATGAATCAAGGATCACAGAAAAACATAAATAATTACTCCATTTAAATTAAGCAGAATCTTTTCTTCAGGACACTTAAAAAGAAACCTTTACCTTTAGTTATTTTAGTTACGAGGACATAAATGAATCTTCTGCAACCAGAAAGGCTTTGCTGAAGAGGCTAGAGTCAAGATAAAAGGAATGCTTTAAAAAACATTTTTTTAATTGTAAAAAACTTTGAAAAATATCTACTAGAGTAGAAGGGAAAAAACCACATTCCTCCCACTTTGGTAAATTCCTATGCATTTCTAACAAAATAATGATTGTATACTCTCCTGATCTAAAAAAATAAACATTTCCCTATTGTAAAAATCTGTCAATATAATTTAACAGTTGCATAATAGAACATTCTCCATACCAAAATTCAGAAATAGGCCTTAAATTCTTGATCCCTTCCACACCTTGTCCATGTTCTCATTCTTTATCACCACATTCAAAAACTTTATTATCTTCCATTTTACTACTATATCAAAGTCTCTACTTCTTAAATAGAAAATACAGTTGAGCTATGTTGAATTTTCTGTTTGGACTGGCTATTTATACATTTTAT